AGGTTGTTCTCTTTACTTCATTGTCTTGTTACTGTGTGTAATGCTACTGCTACACTGCAATTTCCCAGCAGCAATAAAGTATATCTATCTATCTATCTATCTTTCTATCTATATAGTTTTTTGTACACTTTACAAGCAGATAAAAAAGTTTCTTATGTTTCTTCCTAAAATTAGATATGAGAAGATGACATTAGGCTATATTATTTGATTCTTAACTATTCAAACATATTATTAGTATAAGTAGTCTGATCTTGAGGTTGTACATGTGTCAGCACTATAATCCCAGCTCCAAATTGACTTATATTTTGTCTATTTGGTTATTCATGGTTTGGTATTTGATCATTTGGAATTGTGTATTTCATATTTTATATTTCTATTCATATAACTAATTTCTTGTGAGATCACGACCACAGCAGTATATCTTTAGTTGCAGGCTGTTTAAAATCATTATTAGAAACATTATTAAAACACATTCACTACCAGAAAAAGAAGGCAATTTTTTTAAATGAAAAAGGCTAAAATAAAGTAGGCAATATGGACTGAATTACTACTGTGATTATTGGCTCCAAACTTGCTAAAATTACATAATAAAAAGTTAAAATGTTCAACCTATAGTCGCTTGTTTTGTTTTTTTCTATAAAATCCTATAAAAATACTAAGATCTCATGCTGTGACACAGTTCTTTGAAATTGTACTCATCATTCTTTTAGAAATATGAATATTAATAGAAACTATACATAGTTTCCTCCATGTGCAAACTTTCACAGGCGCAGTTGGCTGCTGCTGGACAGTTGGTCACCAGATGTACAGAACTAAAGAGAGGACTGATCTGCCAGCAAGGAAGGAGTGCAATGTCTGGATCTTTGTGCAGACTGTAAAGTACAGAGCTGCAACAATTAGGCACTTAATAGTCGATCAATCTATTAACAGCAAATTAACTATGAACTATTGATTGATAAATCGTCATTTTTCAGACAAAATGTCCAAATACTTGCTGGTTTCAGGCTCTCAAATATGAAGATTTTTCTTCTTCTTCTTGGACATATATTATGGTAAACTGAGTATTTTGAGGTTTTGGACTGTTGGTTGAATATAACAAGAAATACATCACCTTGGGTTGTGGGAACTATGACAAAGAATTCATCACTATCTTTTGACATTTCAGACGCAACAATTAGACAAAGAGACAGAGAGAGAGAGAGAGAGTAAAACTAATGAATACTGCCTCACTATAATTTTCCCAACTAATAGGCACATGCATCTTTAATTGACAGAGGTCTATTATTTCACATTTGTAGCATTGCTTCAACATAAACCATTACAATATTTCTATCACAATGTTGTCAGTATTTACACTGCCTTTATATATTATATTGTATATAGTATCATGTTTTAAATGCTTTATAGCTTTACTATGGTTCATTTTTTGTGTGAGTGTAATTGAAATTAATCCTAGAGGTTTCAGATCTTTTCATTATTTTGTTCTGCTATGGTCAGGTTATGTTGTGAAGGATAAGAAAAAGTCTACCATCTGATAAAACTCTGGTTGCTGGGTGCATGACCCAAACACTGCACAGCTTGGGAGGTACATGAAAAATGGTGTAGGGGGGAAATAGGGATGAAATGGTGAGGTGAAAGATAGAAGAGGACAGAGGGAGGGAGGATGTGCCGGTATGTGTTAACAGAGAGGTTGAGAGAAAGAGAGAGAGAGGGAGAGAGAGGGATTGTGAGAGGTGAAATCATAAAGTACTTCTTGTGTGTCTAGACAGGTTGCTTGTTAGCAGGGCATGGCTAGCCCTGTGGAGGCTAGAGGTTAATTTGGTATCTGCTGCTGTGTTAAACTAAGGTCAGTACTACAAGTCCTTAAGTCATAAACAAGAGTAGTTAAGAGCCATGTATACACCTAGGCACCGGTTAATGAATATTCAATGAAGATTTTTTTCCCCTTGTCCCCTGTTCCCTTCGTTGTTGCTCGCTTTGAAGGAAAATTTTAGCAAGAAAAAAAAACCTCACAGTTTATTTCTGTTGCCTTCAAAAATGACCTCTGTGCACTTACATTTACCTGTCCTTTGTTATCATAATACATGGCCTTAGTCGTAATAGAAAGTGGCTTTTTGCTATTTGAAATGTGGCACACTCATTATGCAGCTCTGTCCCTGGATGCACCAAATGTAACTACCCATCATTTGATTGCTTAATACAATATGTAATAATAATGTGATAAATTTTTCCAGGTCATAAAGTTTGTGGTTAAAATAAAACTTACGACCAAGGCCATGTACTCATTGGCATTTGATGCAGATGTTTTAATATGCAGCTTGGTGACTGGGCAGGCAATAAGAACTTGAACTGAGCAATCACAGACAAATCGTAGTGTGCAGGGGCTCTGAGATAAGTGTGTTTTGCTGGTAACCTGCAGAAAATTCAGCGATAATAATTCAACTGAAATGGGGTTAATTGTAAACATTGACACTGTGGTCTAAAATCATAGTCAACATCACATCCCACGGATTACATGTCAATGGTGGCCACATATTCTGCAGGCTATACATTATTTAGAATTAAATTGCGTAGGAGTACACCTCTAAAATGCCAAGCCTTTTTGTAGATTCCCTGTAATAGTCGTTAAATACATTAGTAGACTTTTTTTGCTTCTAGGTCAATAAGATGGTCAACATTCAGTGTTTAATTATTTAAGGTTATCACTGGCAATTAAGCTGATTTACTTGTATACCAATTAGTTTCCTTCTGAAGACCAGTTCACAACCACACAAACGTTTGTTACAGACTTACTTAGGGATCACGGTTTTTTATGTGGTCGATTTTCCTGTTTTGTGTCCAATTCATGTGTTTTTCTGTATTAGTTACAACAGTACATTTATTGTAACATAATTAGTCAATTTGTACTTTAATTGTTTTTACTTCCATTCATTATTTATAGCTGCAAAACTACATTTTTATTTTATTTTACAATGGATCAAATGGGGTCGCTTATAGTGACGAATGTCTGCAGTTACCCTCAGCTTTACGCGGCCTTTCTGCATCTTTCAGTACAGCCCACAACTTTACTGTTATGGTTTTATCTCACTGCTCTAAAACCCACTGTACGCTGCCTGCACCAAACACCACACTGACAACATTTGTGACTGCACTTTTAATGTTTAAAATATACAATGTTATTTAATGTTTCCCATAACATAATTTAGGTAGTAGAAGCAGCAGCAGTAGCTGTGTTAATAGTAGCGGTAATATTAGTGTTAACGGTTTATTAGCAGCATCATTATAATAAGTACTTGTCCTACATATGACATTTTATTGCTCATAAATGATATAATTATTGGTAATACCAATTAGTTGTTTGCAGTCCCTTTTCTCCTGTCTGGCTCTTCTACTTTTCAGCTCTATGAGGCCAACCTTCATTCATTCAACATCTCAAACATCAATCTCTGGAAAAACAATGAGTGATTTTTCTTCAAAAATTCTTTGACCATCCAGTAAGAATGGTCAGCCAGAAAGCACAACAGCAGTGGTGTCAATTGAGAGACACATCCTGTCTCCATCTCTAGACCCCTTAACCCTAAGGGGCGGGCTAGTGAAATAGAAAGATTATGGTGACTGGAGATGCTATTGTAGGTGGGAAATAGGGGACTGGACCAAAGGAGGCAGGGGCTCGAGGTGAGTGGAAATAAGGAGGGGGGGCGCATCCCTCTTGTATACTAAAGCAATATGCAGGATAGGGGTGGAGGTGGGGGTCGGCTGTGCAGGATGAAGAGAAAGTCTAGACTGCATTGACCCTTCTGAAGCCAGGTTTTCTCTTCAGGTCAACCTTGATATGGAGAAGATAATGGAAAAGCTTGGGGGAGTTTTCAAAAAAAACAGATTGGTAGAAAGAGTATCCCTGTTCTTGCTTCTATGTAATCCCTAACTGTATGGAGGTAATAGCTTGGAAGTGATGGGAAACCTTTCTCCCATCAAAAAGGGGCCAGGAAACCTCAGCTGCATGGCTTAATGGTACGATCTGTTGCCTTTGTAGCACCGAGGGTTGTTTTAAATGGCTGACTTCTTCAAAGCTCTTGTCCTTCCATGCCTGCCCTCTGTTCATTTAACTGTACAGCAGCAACAGGGCTCACCAAAGCAGGTGATCAAACCTTGTCATCCATCCACTATACATCCCCTATAAGAGTTCTGAAGCCTTTCGCCATAGCCTGTAACCGTACAATAAAGAATGAAAATTTATAAGCAGTGGTAAATTACCCATAAGGTGCAACGGGTGTCCCTGTGCTTTGGATTTTGTTCCTTATTATTTCCGTGCCAATGACACATCGCTCAACTTCCACTTAATGACTCAGCTGTGAGCACTGACAGTTGACAGCGGTTGGTTGCCTGGGGGTCTCATGCTGAGAGAAGAGGGTGGCGCGAGGCAGACGAGGTGGGATGTAATCACTCCCTGTAATTTGGAGGAAATCCACTGAGCTGCTCATAGTCAAGATGAAAGCCCTCCTCTTGTTCCGTCTTTCCACAGCCACCAAGCTCCACTGCTTAAAAAGAGAGGTTCAGAGAACCAATTCTTCCTGGTTGGTGTCCCCCAGGGGTTAGTCCTGGGACCATCTCAATTCAGCTACAGCCCTGGAGCCATGTTCTTTCCCCAAGGAGTGGTACCGCAGACAGACAGTCAGACTGCCCATCCTGTGCTATATGGCCCAGGCGCAGCCAGCCAGCACACAACTC